TTTCCTTCCAATTCCTCTTTCCATAAGCCATCAAACACCTTTAGAAATGGAATGTGATCTTGTGCATTTTTAAGTATGTGCGCACATAGTTTTGTTTGAGCCTCCTCTCGTCCACAGGCGAAGGTAAAATGTTGTCCATTGTCAGATCTCTCACAAATCATTGTGGCACGTCACAGAAATTTGCAAACGTTTAATGCTGAACAATCGCAGCCGTACTCCTACTTAACGCTCAGCAAATTAGGAGTGGGACGACTGGTTCGCCCGTTGTCAGTATAATGTGACCGGGTGGGGCGTCCTGCTGGGTGTCTTCGGCAGTATGTTTCAGTGAGGTAGCACTATAAAGTCGGCATCAGTTCCGCGCGATCACAAGGAGACAAACACGAACATATCGCAGCCTCCCAAAATACACACACATACACTACACGCATGCATCTTGCACACAGGGGTAAGCAGGAGTAGAAACTACCATTTTTACAGACTTTAGTATGTCTCGGCGAGGGGACAGAACACAAAGCTTTTCTCACGGGGCGAACGCTCAACAAATGACCCAAAATGAGGCATTGTCGAGGGAGACATTAGGAAGTAGAAAGGTATGTAGAAAGAAGAGAAACGATAAGGTCCCAAATTTAGTCGCCTCTTACGATCATGCAATTGGGGGCATCAGTTATAATTCTTACGCCCTACCTGCCGGACTATAAATTCCGGACTTTTATACCGGCACCATGGTGACAAAACATTGGTTTGGGTCGGCTGCGATTGTTTGTTTGTTTGTTTGTTTGATTTTGTTTCACGTCCTATTAACAGCCAAGGTCATTTAAGGACGGCCAGCACGATAAAGTCTGCATCATTTCCGCGCTATTACAAGGAGACAAACACAAACATATCGCAGCCTCCCAAAATACACACACATACACTACACGCATGTATCTTGCACACAGGGGAGGCCGTCCTTAAATGACCTTGGCAGTTAATAGGACGTTAAACAAAATAAAACCAAACCGGAAATTAGTTCCTGTCTACCATGTGGAAGCGTAACAGTCATGCTGCTATTGTGTTGGCTAAATGCGGGCCTCCCTAAGGTGCAAGTTTTTATAATAACCGTATGATGTATTGCATAATGTATTCTTGATGCTAGTTTTTATGTTATATGCATATGTTCATTCTGTATGTTTGGTATATCCGATGGTTTTGTTGGGCTTGGGTGAGTCCCGCCATATTTCAATCGGTGTTGTCTGCTTGTATACTCGACACAATAACGTAGTCAAATAGTACATTTTATCATTATGTTCTTCATTGTAGGTACCAACTGTATTAATATGAATAATAGTAATGATAATATCGTGCAACCTAGTGAATTTTCAGTAATCTTATGAGTGTTTCATTTGTTTTGCTTTGTAGTTTTTCACCCTCTCACGAGTTATGTGAAGTAAACTCTTCTACAAGATGGAAACAATAAAGGGAGTCTTCCTCGACTTTTCTCGTCCTTTATTTATTAAACAGTAAACTATAAAAATTCATTTATTTTTCCGTGTGTTGGGACATATCAGTTTTGGAAAATAGTTATTCCTCTTGAGCAATGTTGACAAGTATGATATTTCCAAAACAAAATGTTAGTTTTGGAAAAGCAGTTTAAGCTGTCATAAGTTTATTTTAATCTGTTATTTGACAGTCTGATATTCAATCCATGCCAAACTGAAAACATCCATATCAGAACACTGAAACAATTTTGACAGCCATAATTAGTATGATCTTTTAAAATGTAATTCACAACTTTGAGTTGTAGGCAGCTGTCTACTATTGGGTATTTCCTGTTGTCAGCTCGATCAAAGAGGGGCGTTCACCTGACTAAGAATAGTGCGCACTCTTCGGAGGATTCGCAGCAGGGAACCAGACTAAATAACCTATACAAATATATTTCGTTAACAATGTCGAACACTAAGCTGATCTTTGGATATGATATAGAGATAAGCAAGGGCAAACTTTTTCTCTCATATGGTATTAACAAATCAAAGTCAACTTCCGGTTTTCAGATATGTTACATTAGGAGTGAAGTCTTCTGCCAATACGATATTGACCAAACCTGGAACAAATAATCCTCCCCTGAAGGAATCATGTTATTTGTTGGTGTTATTAGGAATTCAAGATGGCCGCTACGAGGTTTCGTAGGTTACTAGCCTATACTAATACTTGTTCGTTGACGATTTTAGTTTCAATTCAAAACCTTGTTGCTCTTCAGGAGAAGTCATTAAATTTTGACTCATTATACTAACAACGGGTGAACCAGTTATTGCCATTACCCTAAATGCTAATCGTTAAACAGGGAAAGGAAGACCAGCCTTGTTGTCATGCATGCGATCAACCATTAACAGTCAAACACTTTATGATTGAATGCGCCGATTTCAAACGAATACGTGACAGATTTTATGATGTACCGTCTATGAAAAGATTATTGGACAGTTTCTGTGTAATTAATATATGACTATTTACACTCTATTGATCTTTACAATAAAATATGATATAGTGTGCAGCCAATTTGTTCGATATTGATGTATTTCCTTTAATCCTTTACATATTTAAAGCTATTTAGTTTTGGTTTGATTTGTTAATTTTTGTTAATGTCTCTTATTACAGTATTGTTGGTCCTAAATGACTCGCATTGTCGTTGGGCCGTTAAGCAATACAAAAACAAAACAAAGCAAAACAAGCATTATGTGTGTATTTATCTTTCGCGATATCGCTAAAATAAGGCAGACCTAAGAGTGCTTGCCTTTCAAATCTACAACATATACATGCTAACACAAGGTGATAAAAACGTATATACCACCTCAAACAAACGTACATTACACAAATGGAGGAAATGACCTTACCTAAAGGGACTCTAAGCCAAATAAAACGTAACTAAACTAATAGTGCCTCCTTCAATAAATATACTAAGAACGTTTAAACAAGTTCTTACCGCTACCCATTTAAAATTAAACATCAAGGAAATAGCATTAAGTACCGCGTTTAAATACTTGTCATGGTCAGGGAGCACAACCTGTATTACTGGGCGAACGGTCATCAACTATGGCAAAAATGAAGAACCAACACTTTGTTTGATTTTGTTTAACGTCCTATTAACAGCTAAGGTCATTTAAGGACGGCCCCCTGTGTGCAACACTCATGCGTGTAGTGTATGTGTGTGTATTTTGGGAGGCTGCGATATGTTCGTGTTTGTCTCCTTGTGATAGCGCGGAACTGATGCCGACTTTATAGTGCTACCTCACTGAAACATACTGCCGAAGACACCCAGCAGGACGCCCCACCCGGTCACATTATACTGACAACGGGCGAACCAGTCGTCCCACTCCTAATTTGCTGAGCGTTAAGCAGGAGTAGAAACTACCATTTTTAAAGACTTTGGTATGTCTCGGCCAGGGGACAGAACCCAAAGCCTTCCTCACAGGGGCGAACGCTCAACAAATGGCCAAAAGTGAGGCATTGTCAAGGGAGACATTAGGAAGAAGAAAGTTATTTAGAAAGGAGAGAAGAGATAAGGTCCCAAATTTAGTCGCCTCTTACGATCATGCAATTGGGGGCAGCAGGTACAATTCTTACGCCCTACCTGCATGGTCGAGTACCAACACAAATCTTGTTAGAAAGGAAAGTGTGATAATAACATCAGTACTGCGTCTCTGTGTGTGGATTGATGATAAATGGGATGAATAACTGTATACACATTTGTACACATAGATTGTAACTAAATGATATAGAGGTATATAATACTGTTGTGTTCATCACAGTTTAAAAGAATGTGTGGGTTGTATAAATATGTGTATACTTAAACGCGGTATTCAAATCTGTTCAAGTCTATAGTATTGCATTAACTGTTTTAAATATACCATGAGTATCCATCTCATCAAATATGGTTCCGGGAACACAGTTTTTATCCATCTGATCTTTAAAACCTTACCTAACGACACCAGGAGTCATATTGTGTTCCCCGCTGATTTGATGTCGGTTTGTTCAATTTAACTATAGTTTTCAGATAGATTTCTTATAATGTGAATGTGGTACATATACAGTTATAATAGTTTTGACTCTTATATAATGATTCATAAAGCTATGTCAACATTTTCTATTCATTAAGTGCGATACATTTCTTTCTATGAGAGTCTGTATTAATGTTTTATACCCTCAATTACTTGAATTGTCGGTATGGCCATTACAAATATAAAACAAACTAAGGTCAAATGAAAACGGATGTTCTTGGGGAACAAGCCGAGAAGAAAAAGTGAAGAGTTGATAACAGGAAGTTCAAACGGAACATAACAAAAGGTGGCTTTAGGGAAGGTTGCTTGTTAAATGAGGCGTATTATTTCAGCGGTTAAATGAATACTTAATTTAGAAATGTAAGTAAATAAGTATGAATAATAAGTACTCGTTTAAAAGCAGATAAGCAATACAAATTATACATCTCGTTTCTTCAATACAATTGTTAACTCTTCTGTCATCTCATTGGCTTGACTAGGGAATGGTTCCATGAAATTTGCACTTTACTTTTTAGGAGTGAATGACTATGACGTCATGCAATATTAATAAGCCAGTGAAAGATCATGAATCCAGGTTCGACCAGTGCGGGTTCCTAGGTATAAGGGCATTAAACTTGACAATTCAACCGGATTCAACGCGTCACAACACCGTTGGACGCTTGGTTAAACAGCGGTTACACATTTTCACAGCACTGTTAGCATCAAACCATTGAACATAAAAATGATATATTGGTAGTAACATAGCATTAAAAATAAAAGACAGAAGAATAGAAAAAGTTACGATATATCAGTTTAAATTTCACTTCCTGACACAAACAAATGAATTAAAATATCTTAAAAATATATAGGAAAACCAGTACTTGAAAAATGACAACTGTCAAGCTGCGTGTTGAAAAGCCGACACATATCCGGAAATGAAAGGATTGATGGAATAGATATCACATAAATACGACAAACCTAGTGTGAACGTCAGTTTTATTCTTAATTGCAAGAACTTACACAGAGTGAATACTACAGAAACGTAGTAACAGGTAAGTTGATTTTCTGTTATTGTTATATTTTAAAGTGCATTACAATAGCTCACTTTTTGTAGTATATCACTCAAAGTTGTAAAAATAATAAACCGAATTAAATATAACATATATATATCAATAATATATAGTAGATAATAAATAAATAAGTCCTTGCGAAGGAAAATATAGAATAAAAACAAATCTTTCAGATCGTCCGCTAGGCCTTTCTGCCTTTTAGGGCTTCTTCAGACGGATTGATGTTATTATTAACATTAATGTTGAACGTTAAGCAGGGAATATCAACTGCCATAATAAACATCAATCCGCCTGAAGAAGCCCTAGAAGGCTGAAAGGCCTAGCTGACAATCTGAAAGATTCATGTTTTTATCAAATAATATATATATATTCTATACATAATAATACGTTTGACCGTACATGACCTACATGTACGTGCGAGTGTACACTCTGTGAAAGGTTCACATAGTAATGTATATACAAAAAGATGAAAATGTTTACAAATTAAAGGGATGGTATGTGAATAAGGTCAGTCGTCGACGTTTACATGTATATATGGTGTAACGTTTGTTTTTTCCGGCCCATCGACAGTTTATGCCATCTTGTGATAAAATACTCTGTAATTTAAGTATTTGTTTGAAAGATACAAGAGTTAAAGTCATTTTCCCTGTTAATAATACTATTCTGAAACATAGTGACGTTTTAATTAGGATATTTTAAGTACCGATATCTTCCAAACAAACCAGTGTCTAATCTAATAAACCAGAAACTTACTCGGAATATTCAAGTGCACCATTATTATACAAATTAAGCCAAATACATATGTTATCGCATTAGGCTATCGGGATAGTAGTGTGGTTTGGTTTTATATTGTTTTACGTACTATTAACAGTTAATGTCATTAAGAATGTGCCGCCATGTTGGTGTGTATAGTATGTGTGCAGGAGAACGGTATAGTTCATCACCGCCTCGTTTGTGAATGATAGTCCCTGTAAATAGGGCCTAAGAATATTGTACCTGCTGCCCCCATGCATGCTCGTAAGAGGCGACTAAAGTTGGGATCTTATCTCTTCTCTTCTTTCTGAATATCTCTCCTCTTCATAATGTCTCCCACAATGCCACACTTTTGGCCTTTAATTGAGCGTTCGCCCCTGCGAGGAAGGCTTTGGGTTCTGTCCCCTGGCCGAGACATACCAGAGTCCGTAAAAATGGTAGTTTCTACTCCTGCTTAACGCTCAGCAAATTAGGATTGGGGCGACTGGTTCGCCCGTTTTCAGTATAATGTGACCGAGTGGGTTGTCCTGCTGGGTGTCTTCGGCAGGTTTCAGTGAGGTAGAACTATAAAGTCGGCATCAGTTCCGCGCTATCACAAGTAGACAAACACGGACATATCGCAGCCTCCCAAAACACACACGCATGCACTACACGCATGCATCTTGCACAGGGGAGGCCGTCTTTAAATGACCTTAGCTGTTGATAAAACGATTAACAATACTAAAACCAAACCAAGCTAAACCGATTGTGAATGGTACTTACAGTATGTAATGTCAGTTTGTGATTGTTTTGTATTGTTGTTGTGGTTTAATTTTGTTTAACGTCCTTTTTTACAGCTACGGTCATTTAAGGGCTGTATGCAGGAGACATGGTATGTTGGTTTGCTTGCCTCTTTATAATAGCGCGGATCTGATGCCGATTTTATAGTGCTGTCTTACTGAAACAATTTCGCTCGGTTACATTATACTGACAACGGGTGAACCAGCTGTTGCTATTCCCATTAATGCTGAACGTTAAGCAGGGAATAGCAGCTACCATGTTTAAGGACTTTGGTATGCCCCGGCCTTGGGACAGGCCCAATTACCTTCATCACATGGCTCAACACTCAAGCCAACAGTAGGGTGTTGCCAAGCATGGCGCTAGGAAATAAAGTTTGTTAGAAGTAGAAAGAAAAATAAAGATACCAAATATTGCAATAGGCGTTCTGCATTTGGGTTTCCACATAAGTCGCCTACTACGATACATGTAGTGGGTAACAGCAGGTGTATTCTGCAGGGGTGGTTATGTATTGTTGTACGGCCCATCAACAATGTGAGCCATTTAAGACCAAATAAATCAACGAATTGGTTGTGAAAATTGTATCTTATATTATCGTGAAGACTAAATTAATGTAAATTATGATATATTGATTATTTTATATTATATATTTATATTATATTATTTTTTTAACCGTCACATTAAAAGCTAAGATCATTTAAGGACATGCCTGGTCGTTTGTTATGTATACGTGTATGTGTGTTTTTGTGCCGGAGAAAGAATTTCTAAATGTTATTGCATCCTTGTGATAGCTCGGATCTGATGTTGGCTATATAGTGCTTTCTCACTGAAATACCATGCCGGAGGCACCCAGCACTGCATTCCGATTGGTATGGGAGGCCTTTCTCACCTTGACGAACGCTCAACATAAGATCTGTCACATATTTGTTTGAAAGTAAATGGTTGATCGCATGCATGACAATAAGGTCGGTCTTTTTTACACTGCCAATCAACAATTACATGGTTTAGTTTGTTCTATTACTATTAACAGGTTAGGTATATACGTATCGATATACGCGTACTCCATGCAATATATTGATTGGTTATTATATATATTGATTAATAATTTGGTTCAGTTGAAAAAGAAATATTTAAGGTATAGGCCATGCTCTAAAACGAGTACTCGCTGGACTATTTAAGTCTTGATGGGTTTAGTGTTATCATCTTAGTCTTAGAACCATTAAATGAGACATTTAAGTAATAAAACGTGTTTTTACGATCATATTACTTATAAAGGATTTTTAAGATAATTATGATGCAGTAAAACTAGTCAAGAAGAAGAAAAAAGTGTACTATTTTCCCTTGATTTATAAGCGTTCCATCATGTGGAGATATATTAACGTATATGTTTTCAAAGTTAATGGAAGACACATGTGAGAAACGTTTTTAGCGGATGTGCATAACTCAGCAGCTCATGCTAACGTATAAGGAGAGGGACGTGGGTAACAAATAACTGAAAAAAATAAGGATCGGTTTGAATACATCTATTTTCATTCTTGTGGGACCGTTGGGTTTATAACGACCCCGATTGATTTTGAGGGTTGAGTGATAAGCTGTTTATGTTGAAGTAATTTATTTTGAACTTTGTCTTCATAAACATGCTTGTTAATATTTATGCTTAACACATGTCAGAAACAAGGTGTACACCAGTGTGGCTCTGTCGTCTGCCGGGTATAGTCACAATACTACTGCAGCCGGGCTAGGTAAAATTTAATTGATACTTACTGTCAATATACCTTATATTATCTACATACACATATTGTACCGTATCTCTCAAATCAAATCTGGTGAGAATAACACTGATGCTCAGGCACCAAAACATACATTGAACCCACAAGCGATGTGGTAATTGGCCTTTTGTTGTTATCATTCGTAAATGTAGAATTGTGTCACCCAAATGCAAATTCAAACAACTGCGTAAGGAAATATGGCACGTGACAGGTAAGTTATGAACATTATGTTAACTTGCGCAAGAACCATGACCGTTGCAACATGTACAAACTCACCAAGATTCTGGAATCGTGATTAACATATTTGTACAGCAATTGTCATTTATGCAAATGTTTGGTTTTAATGGATTAACGTCCTAAAAACAGCTGAAGCCATTTAAGCATGTGCCTTCATGCGGGTAATCTGTGTGCGCTGGAGGCTGGGTATGTAGGTTAAATTGCATATTAGCAATATTGTGGGCCTGATGCTGACTTCATAGTGTTATCTCGTTGAAATACCATGCCGAAGGCACCTTACACAGCATTCCGCCCGATCACATTATACTGATTACGGGTGAACCAGTTTTTTCCATTTCCCTTCATGTTGAAAGTTAAGTAGGGAATAACATCTCCCATTTTTAATGACTTGAGTATGTCTAGGTCTGGGAAAGAGAAGTCATTGCTTTCCTCATGTAAGACCTATTTGAGACTGAAAATAGTATCCAATTCAGTATGAATATTGCTTCTTTTTATTTTCAGGGTAAAATGGAAAGTAGACAGTCATCGGAAACAATTGAAGCGAATGCCTTTAGGAAGACAACCTACCAGGATAATCAACGATTCTATTCTAAAGGAGGCTGCTGCGTCAGGGCATTGGTAATGATTAGTGATCTGGGATATATTAGGAACTTGACAAATATTGATAGGAACGAGTCCGTTGACAGGAAAAATGTTTTCCGTTTTTGTTTCACTACATATATTTTGATAGATATCGGTTCCTAATAAGATGTTTTTATTGCAGTTGCTTAGGCTATTAATATAAAGACGGCTAATTAATGGTTTTTGGTAATTATTAATTGATTTAGGTGATTCATAAGTATTCACGTTAGTTTGGAAAACCTCTCCCGCAAACTATTTAAAATAGCCGAATGTGTTGAATTTGACATTTTTCACAATGCGCATCAATCACAACATTGCTGGATTTATGTTTTCCGACCGGCTAAGTTTACACTTAAAGAATCGTCAGCCGTCCGTAGTAATCGTAGGTTGGTTTGGTTTTATTTTGTTTAACGCCCTATTACCAGCTAATGTCATTTGAGGCCGTGCCCCCATGTGTGTAGTGTATGCGTGCTTGCTTGTGTGTATGCAGGAGACTGGGTATGTTGTTGTGCCTGCCTCCTAGTGATAGCGTGGATCTGATGCCGACTTTATAGTGCTATATCACTGAAATATCATGCCAAAGGCCCCAGCACAGCGTTCTACGCGGTCACATTATACTGACAACGGGTGAAACAGTTGTTGCCATTCCCTAAATGCTGAACGTTAAGCAGGGAATAACAACTACCATTTTACGGACTGGCGACATAACCCATTGCCTTCCTCACCTGGGCGAACGCTCAACATTAAGGCAAAAAGTGAGGTGTTGCCAAGCAATGCGCTAGGAAATAAAAGGTAGTAAAAACAGGAAAGTAATCGTAGTAAAGGTTATCATGTCCTGATAACACAACTGCAATGACCCCAATAAATCGTATACTGATGTAAATGTGTGCTAGAATGCGTTTTTTATAATGTGACCGGGTGTTGTGTCCTACTGGTTGTCTTCGGCAGTATGTTTCATTGAGGTAGCACTATATAGTTGACATCAGTTTGTGCTATCACAAGAAGACAAACACGCACATATCGCAGCCTCCAGCACAGGGAGACCATCCTTAAATGACCATAGCTGTTGATAGGACGTTAAACAATACTAAACCAAACCAACCAAACCGGTAAGCTTCAATGATTTGACACTGTGGTAACAGAAACAAGATTCCAACGCGGAAAAAAACATGAATACGCCACCATCACAAGCGCAAGCACTTAAACACATGATAGTATTTGACAATGTGGCATATGTTTGGTAGTTAATGCCTTAAAATGCATTTGCCAAATCTGAAACCGTGCCTTAGATTGGTTAATATTCAATCCATCGGTCAATATGTAAAACGCTAATGGTAAGAATGTCTTTCCTTTGTTACAGATAGGTCTTTTGATAGTCTTTGTCGTCACAACATGTGTGCTTAGTGTAGTCCTTATATGGAGAGAGAACAGGTGAGGCAATATGGACAGGGATTAAGATACTTATCTTTTAATAAATACATGAAAACATTCTACACGTTCGCATTTTAACGAGGCCAATATGAAACGGAACCAACACTCTATGAGAACATCCGTGACAATCATATATTTACATTCTTGATCTTTGTTCTGTACATGAATCTACCAACTGAAAACAACTGCCATTAGACCATGGATACACTATGAATACGATTATCGTGCAACCAGTCAGCTGATTTCACACACAATGACAAATAATATTACTACGCATAGTATCGTTTCTGAGAAGAGTTAATTCCCCTTCTCCGAGATAATGTAGATGCGAAAAATAATAATAAACATTACCAAAATCATGAATGATGCACTATATATCATGATTGTGTGGTGTTTTGTTTTAAATATCTATAACATTGTCATATTAGATACTAACTTCCGACTCGCAATCGTGGTCACGAACTTTCTAGTAAACACCCAAATGACCGGCTTGGTAATCCCTATGACATCAACTACCATATAAAACCTTGAGAACATTGTAATGGCAGAGGGCATGTTATCCATCAATTTATCATCATTTACATCTGCAGTTTATTTGGCTAACAACATAATAGTGCGGACATAAAACTTTTTTAAATATATAATATGCGGTGTTTAATGCAAAAATACATCAAATAAGATCAACTTTCCAAAACGAAAGGAACATTTAGGGTTTGTTATTATTGTACTCTAAATATATATTTTTCGTTTTAATAAAGTTAGCTGATCGGCGGAAGTTGAACATTTTTAGTGGTTTTCTGTCCGATAATAATTAAAACAAAATCACGAAAAGTTGTCTAACATATGTAGATCAGCTACTGCTATTCATTGCCGCAAAGTTCATGAAAGTAAAATCCATTCAATCCCTATTTGTTCCACTTCGGAATTTGTTTTGGAGACTATGAAATTTTTAAAGTGTAATAATGGTGTTTTTTTTTAAATCTCCCAATGACATGAATGGCATGTATATGTGTAAACGTTTGTGCAATCTTCCCCTGACCATAACATGACAATGCAGCTCGAACGTTGTAAACCATTAGCTCGTGCGAGTTGAGAAGCCTCATGCACACTTACTCACATTGTTAGTGTGACGACCATCCTAATTTTTTCGCTTTTAATACTGCAATAACTGTTGACAAAAATAATGGTAAAGTGTACTGATCTGAAACGTATTCCTGATTTAAATAAAAAAAAAACGTAGAACTTTCTTGAACAAACTTACAAATGTGTAATGTCTAAATTGATTTAGGTGGAGTACTGTGACTTCATGACCGCATGGATATTTTGGCAGCGATTTGAGCCTATTTTCCTTTTTATAGAAGCAGCTTCGAACCTATAACCTCTGAATCACTACAGAAAGCATATCCGGGTTACTTCCGGACACTGAAAGAACAGGTTGAGTTTGAGGTACCTGTTGATCCTATTCCGGCAGGGGAAAACTTTACGACTGTTGGTTTCACTTGTGATGTAAATTGCGCGGTTACACCTGTAAGAAGGAGGAGGGATGCAGCAGACAAAACCTTTCATGGTTGCTGTGAATCGTAAGTATATTTACCATATTGTATTTCGGAATTTTGTCGTATCCACATTTTCTTGTTTAATCAATAAGCGCGCAAATGTTTACCTACAAACAAGGTGACAAACTTCCAAGAATTATTGACGATATACAAATCTTCACCTCTCAAAACAAATTGAAGTGTCAAAATACGGAAACATCTGCAGGCGTATTGCTTGATTGTAAACCAGGACATATGGTAAATAGCGGTTATGCGTTTGGAATTATCAAAAGCATATCATTCATTATGAAAACATTAAAATATATTAACTTTATTTTTTTCTTGGTGTATACCTTGACAGGAGCAAACTTTTTATCAGCCCAATTACGTTAGAAAATATGGACGGTAAGATACGAGAGCTCGTGAAAGATGATGATGTCAAGCAGTTTTTCCAAACTGCAAGGTGCAAGTATGTACAAGTTTGAGTTTTCTTCATTTAAAGTGCTATTTGTGCATATTAATTTTGATATTGAAAATTTGATCACATCCTTTATTTTAGGATTTAAAGGGACATCATGTGAAGAGCCACATATTTTTTAATGAATGTATGTGTTTTATGCACCTCCACTTATGTTACCTTGCTAACTTCCATAATCATAGTCCGTTCCAAATGTCCAGTTTGACCACTTGAATTGTTCGGGAAAGCCCTATTAAAAATAGCGCACATAAACGTCACTTGACGGTTTTGACGAGGCAGTAAACACAGGTGGTCTGAACGATGCAATGCTTCTAAAAGGGGCCCCCAGAGAGGGGCTGTAAGGCAACTGCAACTTCTTATCGCACTATGAAACCAAGTTCTGTGATTTCTAAGTCCATATTGAAACTTATTGAATCAGTAATTATTCATAATCAGAAGTTAATTGCACACATGCCAATATTCAAAATTTAAATGAGGAAATAGTGTTGGGATCTCGGCCTTATTTATAGACACCAGGAAATATCTATTACCAGAATGTAACCGGTACAAATGGTACGGGGCTAAACACCTTCCCTCAACCATGGGACAAGCCTTTCTGTAAAAAGGAAGATTCAAAAGACGAATATCCCTTTTCAAATGTTTCCACAAAGTGTATGTATGCATTGCGAGTATTAAAAAGAGAAACGTTTGTGAATATTTATTACATTGCACAATTCAAAGTCTTTAACAATGGTAGTTTCTACTCCTGCTTAACGCTCAGCAAGTTAGGAGTGGGACGACTGGTTCGCCCGCTTTAATCTATGTTAAGTATTGAAAACATTTAATTATCAAGTATCTCAACACGTTCCATATCTGACGCATATTCTAGATGTACACGTAGTGCTTTTGCCAGAAATGTGTTTGTTTGTTTGTTTGTTTGATTTTGTTTAACGTCCTATTAACAGCTAAGGTCATTTAAGGACGGCCTCCCCTGTGTGCAAGATGCATGCATGTAGTGTATGTGTGTGTATTTTGGGAGGCTGCGATATGTTCGTGTTTATCTCCTTGTGATAGCGCGGAACTGATGCCGACTTTATAGTGCTACCTCACTGAAACATACTGCCGAAGACACCCAGCAGGACGCCCCACCCGGTCACATTATACTGACAACGGGCGAACCAGTCGTCCCACTCCTAACGGGCTGAGCGTTAAGCAGGAGTAGAAACTACCATTGTTAAAGACTTTGGTATGTCTCGGCCAGGGCACAGAACCCAAAGCCTTCCTCACAGGGGCGAACGCTCAACAAATGGCCAAAAGTTAGGCATTGTCAAGGGAGACATTAGGAAGAAGAAAGTTATTTAGAAAGGAGAGAAGAGATAAGGTCCCAAATTTAGTCGCCTCTTACGATCAGCACACGTTCTTTTTTCAACATAAACAAATGACTTTTCCCTCCGTTTTCAATGCGTATTCCGATTCTATCTGATGTCGAAAACAAATTATTTATGGAGAAAAGGTTGTTGCATGATAATACATTCTAAGACAACATCATGTTGAAACATTACGATTTAAAACATTTCTGTTATGCGATCCTTTTTACTATAAGTAGGTGCTCCTTCCTCGGTTATTCATCCTGAACCGTTATTTTGACGTATTTAAATCTTGCATGTACTTCAGCAATAAAATTAAATCACACCATTTTACTGAACCCGGGAATATTGTTAATACAAATATAATAGCGCACGCATCTCATTTGATCCATCTTCGCTAGCCAAGTGTTCGCTTCGTATACACTCCACTTACCCTTGGCGGATATAGCCGTGTTTTCATAATTGCTTCCACTGCCACCTAGCGGATATACCGAGTTATCGATCTTCTCCCATGTTTTTGATGACCGATACATATACACTCCATCAGCGTGTTGACAAAATCACGTGTATGTCGAGGCGGAGTATAAATGACAGAGCAATATGGAAACAATCAAAAGGCAGCAGACATATTTTTCCAGGTCTCATTTACATGTGTATACAAGGATTTAAAAATCCTGAAGTTTTGCCAAAGATCGTGCGCCTATTTTTTGGTGGCAAAACACTCTGACATAAACGAAAACGTGCTTCCGTACAGGGCGTCGCCATTACTGTTTTCCTTCGTTAACAGCGCTATATGTAAGATGCAATTTCATTGGATGCGAGCGATAGGCACTGCACGGAAATGTGAGGGCTCGGTAAACACGGCTATATCCGCCAAGGGTAAGTGGAGTGTATACGAAGCGAACACTTGGCTAGCGTAGATGCATTTGACCCCGAGTACCGACAGAGGAGAGAACAGAATACGCCGTGGCAATCACAAGTTATCTTTCGGAGGGCCTCATAGCAAAATCAAACTAACCAGTCACTTATCCCTTCCTTTCGCATAAACTACTGTTTATAGAAACACAAAGTAAACTCTCTCCGATACATGCCCATTAACATAACAAAATAAGTTCATTTGTGTTCCAACTCGGACAAAGATACTAGCGAGGTTTATATTTTCAGATATTTATTCAAAACATAAACAGCATTTCTGTCGATTACACTCAGCTTTAACCGGCTATCCAGCTATAACGTAACATTTTCGCTATCTTTTGACCATTTGGCAACTTTTCGCTTCGTAGCTAACGCGGTAACGATTTTTCTCGCTAACTTCCCACGGCCAGACATTACAATGAAATGGTGTGCTTTGTGAATGCGCTATTTGAGGGAAATCCCTGAACAAAACGTTGGTCAGACAGGTAGAAATCTCGATGATTATCTTAAAATTATTCATCTTTATGAATATATATCAGCCAAATCCGATCGTTATTTTCCATTTAACGTTCTAACAAGTGAGCAGGTCAAATGATCACGAATGCCTAGCTAGACACCATAGAAATTATTAAATAGTGAATAATGTTTTGTTTGGCATTTTATGTCATCATCACAGCAAAGTTAATATGTAGACGGGTGCTTAAGGAGACATCAACCAAAAGGAAAGGTACATATAGTGTTGAAATGAGGGCAGCACATCAAGTTCGGTTTCTTCAGTGTGCTCTTAGCAGAAGATACGGTATCAATACATTCCCCTCACACTGCTACACTAAGGATCTTTTCTTATATTGTCGTGTTATATACTCTCTTTTTCAGATGGTGAGTCCCTCAGAACCCGTCTGAATAGTGTCTCAAGCTTTAACAAGGACCTTTAAAACCGATTAAAACACTCTAGGAATTTGAACACAACATTTATTCCAATAACTCAATTCACTGATCTAACTTTTCATTTCTCGCTCTAAGCATACATAATCCTTACTTCATTAAATTGTATACCATGTCAGGTTCATAAATGACACGTTCTGCTTACCTTATAGGCAATCTTCTGGTTGTACTGGATGCACGTGCATGCTTGACCGTGCGATAGAAACAGCTGTTGTGTACAAGATCGGCAAGACATCGTCATCGGCAAGCTTTATCGCTGATATAGAAATAGATACATTTTACTTTAACAAATGTTGCAAATGTGTGAACGTTAGAGTGAACGGATGAACGTTGTTTATTCACGCAACTTGTAAAACAAACAAATTTGTTATATAGAAAGTATATAGTTAATATTTTTATAATAAAAAAATAGTATCAATTCGAGTTGTAGATTCATATATGAACATTCTATATGAAATCATATCATTGTGATTAAATCTATTATTATTATTTTGATTGTGAATTTGTATTATTAAAGCCTCAATTATGTATTTAAACCTCTCTTATACATATTTGTTTAATCTTTCGCTATGTTTGACATGTGTGGCGGAACATTATCGTAAAAGGCAACTATTGTTGGTCCCCTGCAGAACATCTACCTTTCCAGCCTTTCAAAATACTATTATTTTTCATAAGTCAGTATTGACTGGATATCAACATAATAAGTTACAATTAAACTGCATTAAGAGTTATTTTATACTGATACTATAACATGAAATTTACTTCATATTTTTGGAATCGGACAATTTTACAAGTATGAGTATACAAGATGTTGAACTGCATTCGGGACAAGGAATAATCACAGATAGTTTTTATTGATATACCGATTTGGTTTTGATAGGTTTAACGTTCTATTAACATATATAGGTCATTTAAGGACGTGCTTTTATTTGTGCAATTTATGCATAATTTTGTTCTTGGGGCAGGATATATTTGTGTATTGGCCTCCCTACGGTAGCGCGGATGTGATGCCGAATTTAGATTGACATAGTGGTTAGCACTCTGTTATATGTACCATAACAATAGATATAACCTTACGAGTCGTTTGTTTGTTTGTTTGTTTGATTTTGTTTAACGTCCTATTAACAGCTAAGGTCATTTAAGGACGGCCTCCCCTGTGTGCAAGATGCATGCGTGTAGTGTATGTGTGTGTATTTTGGGAGGCTGCGATATGTTCGTGTTTGTCTCCTTGTGATAGCGCGGAACTGATGCCGACTTTATAGTGCTACCTCACTGAAACATACTGCCGAAGACACCCAGCAGGACGCCCCACCCGGTCACATTATACTGACAACGGGCGAACCAGTCGTCCCACTCCTAATTTGCTGAGCGTTAAGCAGGAGTATAAACTACCATTTTTAAAGACTTTGGTATGTCTCGGCCAGGGGACAGAACCCAAAGCCTTCCTCACAGGGACGAACGCTCAACAAATGGCCAAAAGTGAGGCATTGTCAAGGGAGACATTAGGAAGAAGAAAGTTATTTAGAAAGGAGAGAAGAGATAAGGTCCCAAATTTAGTCGTCTCTTACGATCATGCAATTGGGGGCAGCAGATACAATTCTTACGCCCTACCTGCAGGGGGACCTTACGAGTCGGTGATAATTTACATTACAAAAAAAAAAAAGGTGATTGCCAAAGGCTACTTGTGTGTGTACGCAGGTAAAAGCATTATGATCACCTTTTACCATTGTTCTGAGGTAAACGTTGTCGTCTATGTCTAAACATCTTATCAACAGCTAAGGTAATTTAAGGACGTGTCTCCATGTGTATGTGTGCATGTAGGTTTGTGTGTCTTCTTCTTTAGATAGTTCTGATCGTATGCCCACTTTATTGTGCTACCTCACTGAAATACCACGCCAGTACAGCTTTCCGCCAGGTCACATTATACTAACTTTCGTTGTTGGTGTGCTTTTTGTGGCAGACAAGCGTGATTGTACAACACATTATGTCTAGTTATTTTTTTAAATGTTAACAGACGTGTTCTGCAACTGCGGAGTGTTTACATTGGATATTTACTTTTATTTATTAGCTCACCTGGTGCGAATTTCTTTGAAAGACTTCTCCTTATCGACTAATTGGAATTTGACTGGAAGCATCCCTAAGTGGTGAGGATTCAAAATTGTACAAATGGTTGGGCTGAGGGGCGGGGCCAAAAGGGGGCAATTTGGCTATATTGCTTTAAGCGACTTCTTCTCTGGAACGAAGAAATGGATATAAACCATATTTGACTGGAAGCATCCCTAGGTGGTGGGGATTCAAAATTATACAAATGGTAGGGCTGACCCCCCAAGGGGGCTGAGGGGCGGGGGCAAAAGGGGGCAATTTGGCTATATTGCTTCAAGCGACTTCTTCTCTGGAACTAAGAGATGGATATCAACCATATTTCACTGGAAGTATCCCTAGGTGGTGGGGATTCAAAATTGTACAAATGGTGGAACTGACCCCCTAGGGGGCTGAGTGGCGGGGCCAAAAGGAGGCAATTTGGCTATATTGCTATAAACATCTTCCTCTGTAGAACTGTGCCATTGACATCGACCATATTTGGTCGGAAGCATTCATAGGAGGTAGTGATTCAAAATTGTACAAATTTTGTTGCTGACCCCCCGGGCTAAGGGGTGGGGCCAAAAAAGTGTATTCCTTGGAAATGGTTGAGATCCCCACCGTATAACCATATATACAATTGCTGAGTATAAAGAGAAGAATGCACAGGTGCTTCCAGGATGGTTCTAGGGTCTGGCCCCACCCTTGGGACTTGGCCCCACCCTTGGAGACATAGTCCCTTGGTCATAACTTTGAAACGGTTGAGATCCCCTCCCCAAAACTATATATACAATTGTTGGGCATAGAGAGACTATTGCAGTCATGCTATTAGAATGGATCCCAGGGTCTGCCCCACCTTTGCAGACTTAACCCCTGGGTCATAACCTTGAAACGGTTGAGATCCCCACCCAAAAACTATAAACACAAATTGCAAAAAGAGACAAATGCAGTCTTGATATTAGAATTGATCCTGGGGTCTGGCCACAACCTATGGACCTGGTTTCTGAGTCACAGCTTGGAAACAGTTGAGATTCCCACCCCATAACCATACATAAAATTGCTGGGCATGAAAATTTTAATACAGATATGCTACAAGGATTGGCCTTGGTGTCTGGCATATTTTGCCTTGATTACTTAGATATCTAGGTGAGCGATACAGTGTTGTTGTCAATCGCTAGGCAAGAATTTGTTTGTGGTTCAAAGTCCTCGTTTAGTTTAGTTTAGTATTGTTTTCACGTCCTATCAACAGCTATGGTCATTTGAGGACGGCCTCCTGTGTGTGCAAGATGCGTGCGTGTGGGTTTTTGGAGGCTGCGAATTTAGGTTCGTCGCGGTTGGGGCAGTAAAGAATTTTGGGCGATATAGCTTTCGGGGCGAAATTGATTTTGGGGCGAGTAGAAATATTTTGGGGCGATATGGTTGTCATACTTGGGGTGAAAAAACCTGAAATATAACATACACGCAATATCAACGGTTATATGGGGAACTTTATTGTCCCTTACAACAGACAAAATCGACCTATCGACAAATGGATGCGAACGAATAATTACTTCTCGGATAGGCAATATTGATCCTTGTTGGGAAGATCTACGACACTACCACTGCTTGAAGTTATAAACAAGTGGACAGAAGCTTTGGACAAAAGTTAAGCTGTAGATTTATATACATCCAAGTTTTTGTTATTCTGGGTCCTTCAAAAGCTTAACAATTCATATATATCAACAGTAAAACACTTTGTAACCAATATTTCGAGTACCTCTCACTGTGCAGAAAGATGTGAAAAACTAAGTCTATTGAAGGGAGATAACCAGTACTTAATAGTTATCCCAATAGTGTGTATATTTAAAATTAGTACATTGTACAACTTCTTATATTTTAAAATAAGTGATTAATTGTAAAAACCTAAACAATGATTTATCATTTCATTTTAAGTATCGTCATAAAAAAGTGTTATTATACAACATAATGCATTAAGATGTAACACAACAATAACATGTGTGTATATGTACAAGTATGTACATGTGGTTCATAATAGAATATAACTAATTTTTGACCACAAAAATAGTAATAATGTATTGGTAACAATATTAAGGATCTTTATCCAACATAAATAAATTAAGAATATAATTTTAATTGATATGACATCAATGTTGACGTTTCTAAAATTAACTCCTGCATCTATAGTCTGTTTCTGAGTAGGTGGCGCCTACCAGGCTGCTTTCCTTGACCATGAGTTTAATCTCTACAATAGAATGATAAAAAAAATATAGAAATGATAACAGTGTAACCGTTTATATATTCAATCTACATTTTACTATCATCATACCAGGGATTTTCTAAGTCAGTCTATAGTATACAATGCAAACATTTTGATCTAAGGATTCATTTTTAAACTTTAATTATTTTCAACGTTCCATCGCTCACATCATTCATAATTTTATCAAGGCTAAGATCATATAGGTCTCCGGCTTTTTCATCGTCGGATTGAAAATATTGTATCTGCAAGCAAATCAGGAATAATGTTCATAATTCTCAAAACTTTGTATCATTTTTCTCAATAAATATACAAATAAGGTTTTATCGACATATCAATATCAATTAACATTGTGGTAATAGATCACTTACAGCGTTCTGTCATCAAAGTGTAATGTTATGTTAACTCAACTGTTGTCCATTTATGAGCAATTTAACTATTTGAAAGAAAACTAGTATACTAATTATTCTAATATGTAAGAATACTTTTACATTTGTTTAGCTATACAGTATATAATATTGGAAAACCACACATTACCTAACGCCATTGAACAGGAGATATAAAAGAAGGGCGTAATTTGTGAAATTTAATATTGACATTTTAAACAGCCAAGTATACACATAGAATTTAATGTACATGTCAGATTGAATATCATCATCAACAGACATTTATATTATGTACGTCTCTGTCATCAATAACTCTCGCCATATGCTGAGCAAGGAATGCTTATACAAACCTGATTTCACCTCTAGTTTTGATAATGTTTCATCACTTAACACCACGCTACCAAGCATGTACGCAAGTATACACATTGAAACATATAATTTACCCCTTTTATCCTTCTTAGTATTCATATATTCATATATATATTGGTTTTTGCAACACTCAATGAAATCCATTTTTACAAACAAATTGCATCACTGGTTTTTTCTTCGAATGCACATGTTAAACTTTGAGTTAAACTGTGCGATAGATAAATCCAATAATTTTGACGGGAAACATCTCATGCTTGTGGCAGTTCTCCCGTTTTAAGGTCTTATAACTATGTATACTTGTGGGGATCCCAAACCAATTTTGAGTGTTGTTGTTGCACATGATGCGTGCTTCTCAGTTACTGATAGTATAATTTGTGTCTAATATATCAACTGATGTAAGTAAGAGTATATGCGAGTCGTGTGAGGTATGAATATATAATATGAATTGTTTGAATGTAACTATATACCATATATTGCCAAAAAATCTTGAATAAAAAAAAAAGAAAAAACGCTCTAGCCCTATGTTATAACTTGGACAGCAATTTCAAATCATCGTTTGCAGAAAACTATTTTCTATCCTTTCAAAAGTCTCGAAACAGATGTTTACTCTTCTCTGGCAGATGGTTAAAACAGTGTGCTGTACATGTCACCATTGTCCAGATAACAATGGTGAAGCATCTACAGCACACTTTTCAAGCATCTGAACCAACTCTTGCCCATATCAAGTGGACCTGCACTGCTGTGTGCTGCCAACTGCCAGTAAGGGCTGGTTATGCTATGGCAAATAATCCCCCATGCCTGACAAATTGCCCTTACAATGTTGTCCTTCAACCGCATAACAATATCATGCTCCATCTGGTTGAGGGTATATTTGGAGTCTTGTAGAAAGTCCAAAATATGATTATTAAAGGGGCTGGTCGGGGAAGGCAGTGACGAAATATCAACAGAATCGCCATGTCAGATTCATCGAGCGGACAAAGCAGCAATACGGTACGTAAATAATTGTTTTAAGAGGTCATATATGATGCAAGTGTAGTATACCTACCTATCTGT